GGATGACTCCAAAGTTTTTGGACTTAGCAACTAGAAAGATGGCATTATCAACTGAGACTTTAAAACACATCTCAAATTGACCCACTTCTTTCTATCTCTACCTCAGGCCAAACCATCACCCATCACCTATTTCCCCTGGAGTGCCAAAGTGGCCTCCTAACAGGTATTCTTGTCATTCTCATTCTCTAGTCTATTTATGCCTATAATCAGTGGTAGTTTTACAATGTAATCATTTGCTCAAAATGCTCAGAATATAATCCAAATGTTTTGCCACGGCTTACAGGGCTTTGTATAACCTGGCCCATTATACTTCCTGATCTCATCTTCCAATCCACATTCTAGCCACACTGGTCTACTTTTACTTCAAACCCCTCAAACTCATTCCTGCCTCAGGACCTTTGCCCTTGCTGTTCCCTATGCCTGGAATGCATATCTCCCAGATATTCATATGGTTGCTTTCTCATTTAATCTCAACTCTTTTCTGTTACCTCCTCAAAGAAGCTTAACTCTTGTAGTATTGACCTGTTCTCTCGACATCTGTTACTCTCCAGTCTCTTCCTTCACTTTATTACTTATGGTTATGTTACATGTGTACTTATTGTTGAGCACCATATGGATAGGGATTTTTTTTTTCCACTGATACATCCCCATCCCCTAGAACAGTGCTGGGCCCAGAGCAGGCACCAAAGTATTCACGGAATCAGTGTAAAGTTTAAATAAGTAATGCATATAAAGAACTTACTATGGTGCCTGGCATAAAGCAACCAGAAGACACCACACTCTGGTAATTCTCCCCATCTGTCTAGCCATCCCTTCTTGGTCTCCTTGCCAGGCTCATCCTTGTCCTTCTTCACTTGGTCACTACATCTACCTTTCCTCAAGGCTAAGCCTGGACTCTTTTCTTCCCATTTGACATTATCCTTCTAGATGACTAAGCTAGATTCCTCAGAGAGGTCTATCACAGCCACATCTTGAGTAGCTCTCAAACACTATTTTCTGCACAGTATCCCATTTGTTTCCCTTATAGCATTAATCACAACCTGTAATTATTTGTTTACATTTGAGAAAGACAGCTCCTGACATCTGGGAACTGGCCTGACACTAATAGCTAGGCCTTGGTGTTGCTAAGAGCTGGTCTGGCATTCAAATTTAGGCTAGGGTACTTGCATGTTGAGCATACCTCACAGAATGCCAACAGCAGGCAAGGTCATGCTGTGACTGATGAAGTCAAGATGAAGTTCAATCTTGTCTAAGCACAGACAAAAACAAGGCAACCATGCAAACCGCTAAACAGCCCCTTCTTTGCTAAAACGAATGATGGCTTAAAAAAAAAATGGTTACATCTTTAGCCATATTTTATTTCGCCCTCCTTCTAGATGAGATTAAGATGTGCACACAGAATTGTTCCCACTTCCTGACAGCACCCAATGAGAACAATTCCCCATTTCCTTGAACCTTCTCCCCAAACCCTAATGCTGCCATTTCTAACCCTTTCTCAGAGACAACCTCTGTGGAGCTAATAGACCCAGCTTGGCTGTATGTGTGCTCCTGGTAGTCTTTTGTTGGAGGGCATTGACACTTTTACTACCTTATTCTCTATTGCACCCCTAAATTCTAGCAAGGAGTTGCTGGCAGAGTATGTTCACCCTACCATTTTCATCTGCTTCAAGTCCAGTACTTTGCTTAGCACATGGCTGCCTGAATAGGATACCATTCTAAGCCTTGATGGCAGCTAAGTATTGGCCACAGTACTGAGTTACAGCCAGTGGCATGTAAGTTGAAGAGCTGTATCATCTTTTGGAAAATGTTCTCCAAGACAGCTGGTGTCCTCTGCCCTTCCTCCATTCCAAGGCTTAGAGCATGGATAAGCAAGCTAGAGCGTCACTTCTGACAGTGAATAAAAGGATCTGAATAGTGGAGCTGAAAGCTGGGGGGAGGAATTCAGAACACCTGAGGACCCTGTGGTGGCATGATTGTCACATATGCTTTGGACAGTCTACCTCTTGATTTGTGAGAGAAATAAACTTCTATCTTGCTTTAAGACTAATTTTGGTTTCTGTTACAACTTAAAGCTGGTAAGCTGGGTTATAGTAGGTATTTAATATTTAGAGTGAATGAATGGATCTATGTTCATGGCTTCAACCACCACCTGTAACTGATTTATGTCTCTAGTTTTAATTTCAGTATCAAATCTGTATATCCAACTATCTACTTTCTGTATCTCCTTGGCTATCTTAAGGGGAGCTCAGACTCAACATTCCAAAAGCAAGTTAGTGACATTCTGCCAGTTTTCTTCCAATACCCTGCCTTTCAAATGGCACTTAGTTATGCAAGCCACAACTGCCCCACGTCTATAATACTTTCATTTTTATGTTTCCAAATGTCCTCTGTTCCTACACTACTACCCAAGTTTTGCTGTATAACGAGCAAAACTCACCCACATTGCTAAAGTAACCTTTTAACTGCCACTGCCAAGACTGGCCAGCTCCATATATTGAAGTTGGTATTTTTGGAAAACCAATCTAATCCATTATACTGCCTGAAACTCTCGAAAGGCTCTGGTCTTAAGACCCAGATCCTTATGACCTGCATGGCCCTTAGCAGTCTAGCTTTTCTTTCTTCTGCCTTGCCTCCCACCCTTCCCAGCTTTAAGCAACAGCCTTGCCTGGACTTCACTCTCCTGCCTCACCTCCTGCTTGTCCTGAGCTTATCTCAGTTGCCATCCTCCCAGACTCCCTTTATCACATACTCCCCTATCATCGCGTCTCACTTCCTCACGTCACTTCCAACACATATTTTTCATTTCTTCAGTGGCTCTCCTACAGATTTTAAATTAATTGGTTTCAGCTTTTATTGCTAGTATATACTAGTTACACTAGTTATCTCTACTATAGTGCCTAGTATATTGCCTGGCTCACAGGCATCTACAAGTGCTTGTTGAAAAGACGGCTTTGTCATTTCCAGTCCACAACCATTAAACATTCAAACGGGGTAAGAGGTTTAAAAACTACTTCATGGCCTTTCCTTTCTCATACAAGACTGCCACTGAACATAACGCAGCCTGCTCTGGCTGGCGCCCAGAGGTTAATGGGACCCCATCGGTTTCCTCAGGCTGAAAGTCCCTCAGACTTTGCCTGTCTCCATCACTGTGTGACCTAAAGAGTAAACTGACTTCAAGAACAGCCTCACCTGCACCTCCAGAGATGACTGGAACACAGGTATTAAAGAAAATGCTTGTTTCCACTGCGTTTATTACTAATATAAAAAAAGGTTAAAAAGAAAAAAAATTCATTCTCAGTTCTCCAACGGCTCTCATCCCTCCCTCCTGCCCACACAACTCCTCAGGCATTTCCTCAGGACCAGTTCACAACTGAACCTGTTCACTGCTGTTTTCACAGAAAACAACGAGTGCCAGGGATGTAGGGGAAGAAGGTTGGATGAGGGCAACAGTACTGTCCAGGTTCCACCCAGAGGCAGGAGGGTGGAGATTCACAGAATTCAAATGAAAGGGCTGGTGGCCTCACAATGATGTAGTCTAACTAAAGTGGGCTGGAGAGGAGCGGGTAGGCCCATCAGAGGCTTTAGAAGACATCTCACAGGCTTGTTTCAAACCCAGAAAAACTGACACCAGAGGAACAGGGCGACCAAGGAGGCAGTCTTGTGTAAAGTTTCACAATTCTCCCACATTGGAAGGTGGGAAGGGTTTAGAGGGCACCAAAAGCCTTACTCATTTTGGCAGAAAAACTTAACTCTAGTGTTGGGAAGTCACAAAAATGCCACAGACACTGAGAAAGGCTACAAAAGGACACATGGTTTCACAAAGCACAGTGACCACAGACCAGAGCGGTTGGGATCATGCTACTGATGCAGAAACTACAAAATCCAAAAGCAGGGAGAGTGGCCTTTCAGGCAGTAACTCCGTACCAGTCTTTCAAACTTGACCCCAGGTCAGACAACCTGGTGAGTTTCACAGAGCAGCTGACAACACTGGGGGTTGGGTATGTCACATAAAAAGTACTGAAAATAAGCAGCTAGAAGAAGGGAATGGTAGGAAGCTGCTCCAGGGCTCTCAGGAATTAAAGGTGATACTGGGGGCTGGATGGATAGATGCACAAGAAACAGCAGCACCAAAGAGGTTTCCTGTTCAGCAGTCAGTTGGTGACGGGGAAGAGGATCCAGGAGGCAGTTGAATGGAGCAAAGATGGGGTCCTGAAGGTGAGTCTCTGGAGGCTGGATCAGAAGAAAGAGTGCACTCTGTGCACGAGTGATGAAACACAATTCCGCACCCCAAGGCGGGGAGGTGGTGGAAGGGGTGGGTGTCACTGACTGAGGGTGGCAGGTGAATAGCCTCACAGTAGCCATCACAGGGCCACAGGGAAAACATATGGCCACTAGTCACAGAGGGCTCCTTCTAGCCTGGAGGGGAAGGCACAGTCTCACAGAGGAGGTCCATTGACGCCTGGGTGGTAGAAGGCACAGAGGTCCTCGTATCGACAGTGACCCTTTTTGGCAAAATGTCGGCAGACAGGGCGGCTGGATTTGTCTGTGAACAAGTGAAAATTGGACAGTTTAATGTAATGTAACAAAAAAGCAGGGATAGAGCAGTTAGATTTCCTACTCCCTACTGTTTCCAGATATTTTGGAATAATAGTCTTTCTCCTGGGAGAAAATACATTCAAGGCTATACTCTTACTTTAAAAGGACAAAGGACAGCCCAAAAGAAGAGCGTCATGGACATTCTGAGAATTAGGTCACTCTGGGAGTGATGGGTATTACAGCTGTACAGGCATAAAAAAATGAACCTCACCTTCCATAACTTGGGGTACATCCTTGGGCGGGCAGGTATTCTTGATAAGAGACCAGCTTTTGAGTCTTCTAGGGTTTCTCTGCTCTTTGTGAAAGCCTCCCCTGCAGGGACCCCCATGGCCTGGTCCAGGAAAAGGTTCAGCATTGGCCCCCCACCAACCGTGACCATATGGGCCAGACCTGGGGCCTGGACCTCCTTGGATTGGGCCTCTGCCTCGGGGAGGAGGTGGGAGACTCAGCAGTGGTGGAATCACTGGTCCCCTTGATCCTGGAGCACCTCTGTGAAGAGCTAAAAAAAGAGGGAAAGAGAGAGAGAGGAGGGAAAGAGAGACAAAGAGGGAACGACGTGGAGAGGTGATCAGTGGCCAGCCTAATACTGATAAAGCCCTGATTTTTTAAACTAGTTTTTACTGAAATATAATACACATACAGAAAAACATGCCAGTTTTAAGTGCACAACTCAGTTATCACTGAGTAAACACTCCTGTGTTTCTACCACCCAGGGGAGGGGATAGAGCCTTATTAGCACTTCAGAAGTCCCTTCCCTTGTACTCTTCCTCCCCTACTCATCTACCCTCCCTGCCAAATATAACCATTATCCTGACTTCTAGCACCACAGGTTAGTTTCTGTTTTTGAACTTTGCATACATGGAATCATAGTCTGTATTCTTTCCTGTCTGACTCCTTTTTTCTCAACATTTGTGAGATTCATCCAGGTTGCCTATAGCAGAAGTTTGTTCATTTTCATTGCAGTATAGTATCCCATTGCGTGCACACACAACTTATTTATCTGTTCGACTGATGGTGGACATGTGGGTGGATTTGTTTGGGGCTGTAACCAAAAATGTTACTATGAACATTTTTATGCATATCTTTGTTACACATATGTATACATTAATCAAGTATATTACATAGTAGAGGTATTGTTGGGTACTAGAATATATGTATGCTCAGGTTTAAAAGATCAAGTCAAGCTGTCTTTTTCAAAGTGTTTGCACCAATTTGCACTCACACCAGCAGCTGTTCCATAGCCTTGGCAAAACTTGGTATTGTCAATCTTTTTTATTTTTACCATTCTCGTGACTGTGAAAAAGTAGTGTTTTGCTTTTAAACTGTAATACATGTAACATAAAATTTGCCATCTTAACTATTTTTAAATGTATATCTCAATAGTTATGTAAATTCACATTGTTTGAAATCTCCAGAACTTCTTCATTTTGCAAAACTGAAATTCTACAGCTACTAAAGGACCCTCCTTTTCCCCATCCACCCATGGCAACTACCATTCTATTTTGTTTCTGTGAATTTAACTGTTTTAGGTAATTCATATAAGTGGGATTGTACAGCGTTTGTCTTTTTTTTTTTGTATTTGTATTTTTGTAACTGGTTTCATTTAGCCTGGTAGTCTCAAGATTCATCCATGATGTAGCATTTGATTGTATTTTCTTCCTTTTAGGGGCTGAATAGTATTCTTTTGAATCTACATTTTGTTTATCCATTCATCCATCAGTGGATACTTGGGTTGCTTCCAGCTCTTGGCTACTGTGAATAGTGCTGCTATGAACATGGATATGGTACAAATATCTCTTCAAGATAGTGTTTTCCATTCTTTTGGATGTACACCTAGAAGTGGGTTTGGTAGGTTATACAGTTCTATTTTAATGTTTTGAGAAACCTTCATACTGTTTTCCACAGTGGTTGCACCACTTTACAATCTTACCAATAGTGCACAAGGGTTTCAATTTCAAAGTGGTGTGTTTTTGTATTGCTTTTGATGACTAATGATGTTGAATTCTTGTTCACATATTTTTGGCCATTTAGTTCTTGGTTTTTATGAGATAGCTGGTCTGGTCTTTTGCCCATTTTTCTAGCAGGCTGTCTAGAAGAGTTCTTTATATACTGTAGTTATGAGCCCTCTATCGGTTATATTTGTTGTAAATATCTTCTACTCTAAGGCTTTATATTAGTTTAGTTTTTTAATGGTACCATTTGATAGTTTATATTTTCTAAGGCAGGTCAGTTTATCAATCTTTTCCTTTATGGTTAATGTGTGTTTCTTCTGTTTAAGAACTTATCTACTCTAAGACCAAGAAATAAATTTCCTAGAATTACTTTACCTTTTACATTTAGATCTACAGTGTACTTGGAATTAATATTTGTATATGATATGAATAAGAGCTCAAACTTCATCTTCCCCCACGAGTATCCAATTAATCCAGTATCATTTATTTTAAAGACTACTATTTCAGTTCCAGCCTCATCATAAATGAAGTGTCTGTATGTGCAGGCTTGTTATTGCACTTGTCAGGCTGTCCTATTGACATTTGTCTATCACTGTGCCAATACCACACCATCCTAACTACTGCAGCTGTAAAGTTTAAGTCTTGATATTCAGAGGAAGCCCTCTATCTTTGCAATGTTTCACTCTGATACTTTGCATTTACATATAATAATGCAGAATGCTTATATTCAAAAAAGATTACAGGGATTATAACTGGGAATGCATTGAATGTACAAATCAATTTGTGAAGAACTGTTATCTTTACACTGAATACACATCTCTCCATTCATTCAGATATAAAATTCCTGATCTTTTGATTTAAAGTCTTTCCTGGCTTTTAGTCCCTCCATTGCACCCTTCTCCAGGACCTAATCAAACGATCAGGGCCCCTTCCTCCTCACCTGACTTGGGGTTACCAGGTTTTCCATTGGCCATGGGGCGAGGGCCCAGAAGGCTGGGTGGTCCTAAGAGCAGACATGAAAATATGGTCATCAGAATGGACTAAAGGTCTGATGATCCTGTTCTATGTTTTACTTCTGTTACTCATTTCTTAGTCCAACCAGTAAAGCCAGACATATTCTCGGCAGTGTTACGAATTCTCACCCCACCTGTCTGCCCTTTCCTCTGCTAAGCTTCTTCAGAGTTTGCAAAAAATGGAGACTTAGGCAAGGGGGATAATGCAGAAAGGATACCTACAACTTTATCTTTCCCTTACACTGCTGCTATTCAAAACATCCCAAAATATTACAGAAGTAATCCAATCTCTCTTTAACTGCTGGCCAGTCAGACAGATAGCTTTCCCTCCTCCTCTGATGCTCCCCCTCCTTCCAAAGTAGTTTAGAGAAAGCTGCATTTCTACTTTTCCTGAGAAAGTCTGGTGGCAAACTGTCATCCCATCAACCTCTCTAGGGCCCCTCTCCTCTACCATTCTGCTGCAGCGCACACGAATTCTTTATCCTCTCCTCTTCTGCCTTCTTTATAAAGGTTTAGGGGCTGGATTGCTGTTGAGAGTTCAAGTAAGTGACTACCTGTTCAGGACTCCATTCCGGGAAAGCTCCCGCTCCCCCCGCCACAGCGCGTGCGTCCTTCCTTCTTCCGCTAGAGCCCCCTCCCCCGCACCCTTTCAGCCCCTGGCCTCTCGTCTCCACCGGCCGACAGGCATGTGCACACCCCTTCCGGGCTCCTCACCGATGGGACTCCCGTCCTCCTCGTCTCCAGTCTCTTCCCGCTCTGACAATGGGGGCTGCTGCTGCTGCTGCGGCAGCTGCTGCTGATTCTGTTTCTTTCGTTTCGGCATCGTGGCTGCGGCAATGGCTGCAGCGGGATTTGGAGGGCAGTGAGGAAGGGGCACACTGGGATTCTATTTCCGCTTCCGGAGACGGTGGTGGACGAGCTGAGGCGCCCCCCCATTTCACTTCCGGAAGGCTGTGGGGAGCCTTTGTGCGGCTTATTCTCGCGTAAACCATCCCCCTCGGCCTCTGCCAGGCATGGCAGCAATCGCAAACCTTCCCACTGCTGAGTTTCTAGAAATTCTTTAAAGAATTCCTGCTTTCCTCTTGCCGAAAACCCTACAATCGGCTCCTCACAGTGTGCCATAGAGTCCGCAGGCTGTCGGGCCAGAGGGCTTGAGAATAATCGTCGCACCCTAAGGTCGCCACATCCGGTCCCCAGTTACTATGGTAACAGCTGCAGGCACAACTTCGTTCCCGCTGACCTCCCTCCAAAACTCATTGTATCACCTGGGAGTCCCTCCTCGCTCGCACTTGCCCTTATGATCTCTAAGCCTGCTCCTTCTCATCGGTCCCACAAGGAATTTGTGTCAAAGTAGGGCGGCATCCAGGACTCGTCAGACCTCCACCCTCCACTCAAGACCTCTGCCCCTTCCCCTAGTGTAACTCAGCAACTGGGGTCCATTCTCGGGAACCGCAGTCCCAGCTTTCCACTAAGACTGGTAAAGCCTCTTCTGCGTGTCCACGCCTCCGTTTCCCGCAGATGGTAGGTTCCATCCTGCGCTCCACCGCCCCCTCTAGGTGAGTGGTAGCTTCTCTCTGGCGCGCAAAGTAGTGATGACACACGCTCCCCCTCCTTCGAACGCGAGTTGGAAGCGTCCGTGACGAAGTTAGCCCGGTCCTCCCACGCGTGCCTCCTGCCTCTCCGCAGCTGAGCTCTTTCGGTGCTCCTGGTTCTCACGTGCGAGTAGCCCACCCCACATCATCCTCTCGCCTCGCGCCCGGAGGGAAGTAGCTGGACTTCCCTCAGTCAGCCTTCTACCCTGGCCACCAGGGCGAATCGGCCCGGCCCGCCCACTGACGTCACCCACAGCCCCGCCCACTCTCGGGTCCCGGGCCCGTCCCGCGGGGGCTGCCTCGGGCAGTCAGTTGGAGCGGCGGGAGCTCGGCCGAGCGCTGGCCAGGTGATTGGTCCCGGCCATGCCGAGGAAGAAGCCCTTCAGCGTGAAGCAGAAGAAGAAACAGTTGCAGGACAAGCGCGAGCGGAAGCGAGGTCAGTGCGGGAATGAGAGGAGGGGGCGGGGCTCGGGCTCCCGCACCTCTGGAAGGAGAGGTGTCTCCGCCGCACCTCTCGGGGGTGTGGGAGGGGGTGGTGGCTGCGCGCCAGCGCGCGCAGGAGACCGCGGAGGGAATTCCCTCACCCCAGCCCCCCTACATCTGGAAGGGGTGGGGAAGGATGGAGAGCTGGGGGAGGGGAATACCTCCAGCGCCAACGGGGCGCTATCCCCGCAGATCCTTAGAGGAGGAGTGACTTCTCCCACACACATCCGGGAGGGTCCTGGGAAGGGCGGCTGGGATGACTGGGCCTCAAGAGAAGTGGGGTGGTGTGAGGGGGAGCCAGGCCGACCGTGGGGTGGGGGGTCTTATGGTCCCTGAGAGCTGGCCTGCCCTGGTGTCGCCGGCTCCTACCCGTAGGGCTTCAAGATGGGCTGCGATCCAGTTCCAACAGCCGCAGCGGGAGCCGGGAGCGGCGGGAGGAGCAGACCGACACCTCGGATGGGGAGTCTGTGACCCATCACATCCGCAGGCTCAACCAGCAGCCCTCCCAGGGGCTGGGCCCGCGAGGCTATGACCCAAATCGGTGAGAGTGGGCGGGGGTCGCTGGCCCGGGCTTCCCTGCCTACCCGGAAGTCAGAGCGTTGCGGGGAAAGCCGGCTACTGCCGGTGGAGGTTTTGAAGCTTGAGGTGGTGGGGCTGGGACGCTACGGTTCTCCGCGGACCGCTGGGAAGACCTACAATCTTCCCTTCCCGAGGGGTTGAAGAGAGTTTGGCTTTTAGAAGAATGAAGCTCAGGGGAAGGTCGAATACTTCACCAAAGAGGGACTTGGGGAAGGGCCGAATAAGGCAGGAGACTTTAACAACTCCAGAGAGAGCTTTGCGAAGTTGTCTGCCTAAGACGGGAGTTTGTGGCCACAGGGTTGCGATGGATGCCCAGGTCTCTGTCCCTTTAGATACCGGCTGCATTTTGAGCGAGACAGCCGGGAGGAGGTGGAGAGGAGAAAGAGAGCAGCCCGGGAGCAAGTGCTGCAGCCTGTAAGTGCTGAGCTGCTGGAGCTGGACATCCGGGAGGTCTTTCAGCCTGGCTCAGGTGAGTGAGAGCTCACTACCCGGATGTTTGGGGCTGGCAAAGGTCCAGGGAAGGAATTAAGAAGAGTAAGAGCTGACTTCCAGGAAGGAGGAGTCTGGGATACCCTTGAGTCCTGAAACCATCCTTAGACTTATTTGGACTTTTCTTGATTCCTCAGTCCTGAACTTTCCCCGACGTCCTCCTTGGAGCTATGAGATGTCCAAGGAACAACTAATGAGCCAGGAGGAACGGAGCTTCCAGGAGTATCTTGGGAAGATTCATGGGGCTTACACCTCTGAAAAACTCAGCTACTTTGAGCACAATCTAGAGGTGAGAAAGGAGTGGGGCACAGTGACCTATAGTCAGGTTGATCTGGGGTCAGGCCAGAGAGGGACACTTGGCTCAAGTTCTCTTCCCTGTTCTTATCTTTTCAGACATGGAGGCAGCTGTGGCGAGTTTTAGAGATGTCTGATGTTGTCCTGCTTATCACTGATATCCGACATCCAGTGAGTACTGGGGATGAGGATGGCAGGGGAGGAGGGAGGAGAATCTTATGGGGTAAAGGGCAGAGGAAGGAGTTGAGAGACAGAGGTATCCTTCTTTCCAGTGTCCTCTACTCTGCTGATGCCTGTAGCCATGAACTCAGTTCTTTATCACTGTCACAGCCCGTTACTCCTCTTTTCCCCCCTTTTACTCATTTGAAGAAAAACTGAATATCCTGTTTCCTAACCCACCAGAGCTAGACCAATAGGAAGGCTCAGTGTGGAGCTTCAGGGGATTCTCTGCAAGCTGCTGGGGGCTTCCTCCTGCCCTTCCACATCAGTCTCTACAGAATTCTGCCTCACCTGAAGTGGTAGTGCAGTGGCTAAGGCTCTAGACTCTGCTGCTGGGTGGCCCTGGTGTGAACCTGGCTCTGCCACTTCACTGTTGTCCTCCAGTGAGAGAAAGGTCTGTGGGAACATTTAGTAAGTTCGAGGCCTGTTATGACATGTATACACACCAACACATATTCAAATGTGTGTGCATTCATACATGCTCATGTGCACAACCACACATGCTCAACAAAAACACATAACGCATATATATGTACACAGGTAGACAAACAGACAATTGCATGCAGTGAAAATAGGTATTAATTTCTATTCCAGCCCCCCATCCCTGTGGCTGATCCCAGCCTTTACTGTAGTGTGCTTTTCCTTTTCCTGTGTTCTACTCATTTCTATCCCTTCATCAAATTCCTGTCATTTCCTCCAAATGCACAGGTATCACCCCAGCTTATCTTCCTAGTTGAGGGTGGCTGATTTGCCCTTTTGCCCCAGAATCTGCTACCACTAGGTTCTTGTCTCTGAGCTGTGCCTAGTGAGTGGTGAATTGGAGGCGGAGAACTCTGGATTTATCTCTCACTACTCCCTCCTCTCACCAACTCTGCCCCAGGTTGTGAATTTCCCACCAGCACTTTATGAGTACGTGACTGGAGAACTTGGGCTGGCCCTGGTGCTGGTCCTGAACAAGGTGGATCTGGCCCCACCTGCCGTAGTGGTTGCCTGGAAGCATTATTTTCACCAACACTATCCCCAGCTCCCACATTGTTCTTTTCACCTCTTTTCCTCGGGATCCCCGCACCCAACAGGACCCTAGTAGTGGTAAGTGGGCAGTGGCAACATGGGAGAGGTAGGGTGGCAGGGGACAAGATACAGAGAGGCTTATTGACAAAGGTACTTGGGTGGGGTGTATAGACCTGTGTGCTAATGTTTTTGTGTTCTCTGATCTCAGTCTTGAAGAAGAGTCGGAGGCAGGGGAGAGGATGGACTCAGGCCCTGGGGCCTGAGCAATTGCTGAGAGCCTGTGAAGCTATCACTGCCGGGAAAGGTATGTGCCAATAAAAGGGAGCTGTGGGAAGCCAAGCCTGGAGTCATTTTGCCCACCCTTCCTGAAGTCAGCCTTTTCTATTGTGGATGCAGGTGAGAGGCAGGGAGGGAAGGAGGAGGGAGCCACTGACCAACTTTGAGGAAAAAGAGAGGCAGCAGGTAGGCAGGAGCCCCAGTGATTTGCTGCCTTCAGTCTTCCAAGTCCTTTTCAGAAACTCAGAGATGATTGCACACGAATGCACGTGATTCCAGGTGGGGTCAGGTGAAGGCTAGGAGAGTTGGTACTACAACCTGTATATTTTGCAGGTTGGCACTAGCCACCTCCAGAGGGCACCAGTCACATCCCTGTGATGCGCATAGTCTGCACCATCATATATTGTGGCTCCAGGGAGAACCTTTTTCATCTCTTCCCTCCCTGAGCAGTGGATTTGAGCAGCTGGCGGGAGAAGATTGCCCGGGATGTGGCTGGGGCAACCTGGGGTAATGGCTCTGGGGAAGAGGAGGAAGAGGAGGATGGGCCAGCAGTCCTGGTGGAGCAGCAGACTGACTCAGCAATGGAGCCAACCGGCCCAACCCGGGAGCACTACAAGGACGGAGTGGTGACCATCGGCTGTGTGGGTAAGGAAGTGACAGCCCATGTATGGAGGCCTCCTAAGAGGTACCGAGTTTTAACATTTGGGAAAGAGGGAAGGTGATCAGAGGAAGCCACAGGCTCTCTGCTATAGTGGAAGGATCATGGCACGCCTAAGTGCCATCTCTTCTCAGCTGTTACTGATCTTGAGTGAGTTATTACCCACTCTTGGTGTCTTAGTAACTTAAGAGTCTTAGTGAGTTTGGTTTTTATAGTGAGGACAGTGATATCCATTTAAAAGAGTGAATGTGAGGATCAAAAGGAATAGTACAGAATCTAATAATGCCTGACAAATAATGGTAGTAACTGCCAAAACTTTACATGTACCTGGTGCTTATATGTGCCAGACACTGTGCTAAGTGACACGTGTGGTAACTCTTCCAGTCGTAGTAAATAGTCCGTATTAGAGTGATGACTAATCATAGTAAGAGCTTAGCTAGTGTTAGTTTCCTTCTGGGTTTTATGCTTTTAACTCTGTTGTCAAGGAGAACCTTTCCTTAAATAAGAACCTTGTGTTTGCTTTTGGTGGGGGAGAAAGGAATATATGAGTAGGGCTCAGGGCCCCTTTTCGTTTTGGGTGGAAGAGGTGAAAAGTGACTTTGGTGAAGTTGTGGTAGCTGAGGAGGTGAGACTGGAGCCAAAAAAGGCCCAGCCCAGAGGAATTAGTGAGAACAGAGTAGGGAGTTGGGCTCCTTAGAAGTGTTCCTGACTTAACTGTCAGTCCTCATTTTGTCCTGGGAAGAACCTGCCTTACTGCTGACAGATGGTTCCTTTCTAGTCGTTCACTCTGGCTTCCCCTCCCCTGACTTCTGACCCCAGCTATCCCCCTTCTCTCAGCAGCCGCTGCCTTGACTTGTCTGTGTTCAGGTTGGGGT